CAGTCCAGTGAGACAGACACAGAGAAAGGCAGAGAGGAAAAACAGAAGGTAAATGCAGAGGGACAGACAGAGGAGAGGTGGGAACAGAGAACAGACACAGGAGGACACAATGACAGAGGCAGAGAGAAATAAGGAGACAGAAAAGCCAGATGGATGGAGGGAAGGAAGGAAGAAGAGGAGGGATGGAGGGATGGAGGGAGGGAGGGCGGGGACAGAGAGTTACAGTCTGACAAGGACGGATGGCAAGAGAGACAGAGACCCACCTATCTACCCCAGTGGCGAGAAGAGGAACACGCAGCTACCCTCACGGGTGGGGAAGGTGAGGGCCACCTTAGCCCTTTATCCTTTCCTTCTCAGAGTGGCCTTACAGCTCGTCAGCACTTGCCAGGGAAGCTGTTCAACTCCTTCTCTCCTCTCTCTACCAGCTCTTTGGCCTGGCAGCCCAGCTCTCTGGGCTCCCTCCCCTCCGTGCTCAGCCTTCAGTCAAGCACTGTGCAGGTAGGGCTCCCAGGCGCCAGCCAGGAGATGCACCGGCGACCCAGGCGCCCAGGCCCACTGTGCAGGTAGGGCTCCCGGGCGCCAGCCAGGAGATGCACCGGCGACCCAGGCGCCCAGGCCCACTGTGCTGGGGCGCAGGGTCTGACAGCCATCTCCCTCCTCGTACCAAGGTTTTCTCCAGCATCGGGCAAGTAGTAGCTGCTCAATAAGCATTTGCCAATAATGCTGTCCCTCTGGTGATACCTAAAAGGGCTCCTAAGTATAGATTCCATTTGTATTGATTTAATTCGATTCTGCAGAAATGTGTGGAGTGCCTGTCGTGCTGAAGCATAGCATTGCTATGTTATTTAATTTAAGGTATTAAGCGTGTACTGTGGGACATTCTGCGTGAATGGTCCTCAGGCCGAGCTGTCACCGCGGCCCCACGGGCAGGCCCATCAAGGCTGCCCTGCCCGGCAGTGCTCCGCTGGCCTCCGCTGCAGAAAGCCCATTCTCCAGAGGAAACCTCCTACCAGGGCACCACTAGTCCTTGTCCCTATCGACAATGGGTGCTGTGCTGGTCCTTCATTAACATAGTGGCCTGCTGACCAGCAACGCTGAATTTTAAACAGGGGCCATCCCTGGTGAAAGCAAAGGCATTCCCAATACAGGGATTAGCTCAATGTATCTTAGAGACACTCACGGCCCTTCCGTGAATCTCTGAGACAACCTCTGCCCTCTGTATCTACAGAGGGGCTTTCCTAGGCTCACACCTCTCCTCGGTCCTGAGCCAACACCAACTCTGGAAGGTTCTGTCTGCTTGAAGCTGGCGGGGAAGGGGTCAGTGTGCTGACTCTGCAAAGCTGAACTTTGTCTCCCTAGCCTGTCGTGCACGCAGTTTGGGGACATCTGTGAAAGCACGGAGCTAGGACTTCTCCAGCCTGCAAGACGGTTTACTTTGTGCTTTGAGAGAAAAGAATTTAGTTAGCAAGTGCTTCCAGGTGTGGCAGAGTTTGGTCTGAAATTCACTTTCATTGTAACGCCGTGAGCAGACCTATTCTTCTCACCCATTTCAAAATCCTATGGGGGCAATAAATAGAACCAGGGCTTTCTGGAGAAATGGCTTTCTACGGTTGGGGTGGGAAAGTGCGAGAGGAACCTGGAGTGTCTGGCCATGCCAACCACGTCTGAAGTGCTCCAATGAAGTGGTGAGCGGGCCGAAAGGACACAAGGGGACTTGCACCTCCAGGAAGACGGAGTCACCTTACTTCTCCCTATTCATGCCACGATGTGTCACCAAAACCCTGGACATTGTGCATAAAACAAACAAAAGGCAATTCTGAAAGGGTAAGAAGACCCAGTGGGGGCTCAGGGAGCCCGAAAATGGCACGGAGATGAGAGCCCCAGGTTCCTCTTGCCTTCCACATCCCAGCCAGGCACCGAGACAGCCAGCGACTCAGCAACGCTAGGGGGCAACAGAAGAAGCCCCGACAGAGCCTGCTCACTCTCTCCAAAGGCACGGGGAGCACTTTTTATATGCATTGTAACACTGTGCAGTGTGGTCCTAAAAGTAAGTAGGAAAATATTTACAATAACTGTATTATACCAGGGGAGGGCAAAGGAACGTAAAGTGAGGTAGACTTTCTTTATGCCACTTGAGCTAGTGATTTGACAATATCAGTAGACTGTGATGAGTTATACACACACACACGTACATATATATACAGTGTAATGCCAAGAGCAATCACTAAAAAGACTATACAAAGAGATACACTCAAAAACACTACAGATAAGTCAAAACAGAATTCTCAAAAATGTTCCAGCAGCCTACAGAAAGGCAGGATAAACAAAAGAGAAAAAGAAAAAAGAGAGAACAAACAGAAAACAAAAAATAAAATGGGAGAGGTATGCCGTAACATACAATTACTTTAAGTGTAGGTTGTCGAGATACACAAAGATGTAGATTTACAAACCTGACTCAATTATATGCTGTCTACAAGAAACAAACTTCACATATAATGATAAAAATATGTATCATGATCACACTAATCATAGAAAGCAGGAGTGGCTATATTAATATCAGATAAAGCACATTTTTGAACAGATAAAATCACCAGGGACAAAGAACCAGGGAGCAAACACTTTGAGCTTCTCTGGCTCTACGTTCTGTCACCACCACTCACCCCCACCATTACAGCATGAAAATTACTGCCAACGATGCCTAAGCACATGAGCGTGGCTGTATTCAATAAAAGTCTAGCTATGGAGAATAAATTTTGAGCTTCACAAAATTATCATGTGTCGCAAAAAAATTTACCAGGCACAGAGAAGGAGATTATAAAATGATAGGACAGCCAATCCACCAAAAGACATAGCAACCATAAATATGTATATGCCAAACAGGAGAGCCGTAAAGTATGTAAAGCAAGAACTAAGAAGAGTAAAAAGGAAATAAATAAATCTGTGATTATAATTAGAAACACAAACACTCCTTGTTCAACAATCTATAGAACAACTGGGGAGAAGACTGGCAAGGATACAGAAGACCTCAATAACAGCATCAACCAAAAGGATCTAAGCAATATTTATAAAACACTCCACTCACCAGCAACAACACATACATTTGGTTCAAGTGCCAATGGGACATATACTGAGAAAGACCACATCCTGGGCCAGAAGAAGTGAACTCGTACGGAATATATCCTCCGACAACAATAAATCAAACTCAAAATAAAAAAGAGAAAGCTAATGGGAAAATCCACAAATGCTATGAAACTAAATAGCATATTTCTAAACAATCCATGGGTCAAAGAGGACATCTCCAAGAGGAAAAAAAATACATGAAGCTAAATAGAAATTAAAACACAGCATGTCAAAATTTGTGGCGCACAGTTAAAGCCACCCCGAGAGGGAAATGAATAGCATTAAATGCTTACATTTGAAAAGATGAAGACTCTTATCAATAATCTAAGCTACCACCTCTTGAACCTAAAAAAAAGCAAAAATAAGCTCAAAGCAAGGAGAAAGAAGGAAATAATAAAAAGCAGAACAGAAATCAATGAGATTGAAAATAGAACAGCAGAGAAAAATCAATGAAATAAATGCTGGCTCTTTAAAAACATCAATAAGACTGGTACACCTCTCTCAGGGCGGACAAGTAATGAAATAAGAGAGAAGATGCAAATGACCAATATCAGGTAGTCAAAGAGGAGACAGCATTTCGGACTCTGAAGATGTCACAAGGATAGTGAGATCATTCTGTGAACCGCTCTATGCGTATACATTTGACTACTTAGAAGAAATGGACCAATTCCTTGAAAATTCACAATGCAAAATAGATCATTTAAATAGCCCTATAACTATTAAGGAAATTGAATTCATAATTTTAAAACTCCTCAAAAAGAAATCTACAGGCCAAGATGATTTCAATGGAGTATTCTAACAAATGTTTAGGGAACTAACACCAATTCTACATAATCTCTTCTAGGAAACAGAAACACTTCTAAATTCATTTTATGAAGGTAGGGTTACTCTCATACAAAAACCAGATAAAACTAATATAACCCCCGCAAAACTTCAGACCAACATCCATCATGAATACAGAAGCCAAAATCCTTAGCAAAATATTAGCAAATAGAATTCAGCAATATATAAAAATAATTATATGCCATCTAGAGATATAAGGCTAGTTCAATATTTAAAAATCAATTAGTATAATCCACCTTGTTAGAAGGTAAAGAAGAAAAAAATCACAGCAGGATCATTGCAATTGATGTAGAAAATGGCCAGTCGATGTATACTATAGAATTCAATACCATGACAGAAACTCAAGAAAATTGGAATGGAGGAGAAACTTCCAGGATGGCAGTGAGCAAACGGGGAGCTTGTGGGGAGAAGGCGAAGAACATGGACTATTTTAACGAGCAGTACAGGTGCTTTCCAGCTGAGCGTGAGCCTGGCCCCGCATCCCAGGGTCTGTCTTTGCCCAACTGTCTACCCTCAGTGTATTCCCCTCTGACCGGCCCAGGAGGTTCGGTCCTTTTCAGAACCTTCTCGGCCAGCAAAGCCCCGCTGGAAAGCAAGGCCTTCTGCCCACAGGAAGTGGTACGTTTGTGCCTGAGGTTGTGCAGCCACGTGGTCTGCACGCCAGACTGGACTTAAACATGGACCCTGGATGCTCCAGACGGGTCATGACATTTCTCTCTCTTCACTTCGTTGGTTTTTGTGTCTGTAATAAACCAACATGGACATTTTCATTCACTTTTTAAAAGGACACTATCACTGAAGGGCACCTCTTTTGGAGTTTCTTTCTTCATTTAACGAATTTGGTAAGAATCATGATCCTCCTGTTTTTAGTAGGAAGGAAAAAGAATGTGTTTGAAATTTACTAGGAAGTTATTTGAAGTTGTGGCTGAAGTTTAAATCAACAGACAAAAAGGCGGCTCCATTGGGACCAGGAGACCTGTTCATTTAGCGACCCTGACAGTCTGTCTTCCTTCACCTGCTCCCCACGCCCGGCTTACCTCGGAGGCGATGGAGGTGAAGCTGCTGCTGAAGTGCACGTGTTTGTGGATCTCGCTGCCGTTGGCCCTCAGGAGCCAGGCTCCGAGGGCCCGGTCTTCACCAGCCCTCTGGCCGCCGTGGCTCTGGTTGGCCAGGAGCCCTGCCAGGTCCCAGTGGTACGACGGCGTGGCCCCGACCAGCGCGATGAGGATGGCCTCCGTGGCCACGTAGAGCTGGAGAAGCAAGCACACAAAACCATCTGTGCTGGAAACACAGTCCGTGAGCTCACAAACCTTGCATGACCGGTTTCTTGCTTTTGTGTTTTCATGAGCTATAGAAACTAGACGTATCAGAAACAAAGGAGAAAAATGTAGAAAAGAAGCTTCGTGATACACTCTTATGAAGCCATCAGCAACCCCCCGTGTGAAGCACCTGATATTTTTTCTACCTGCATAGATGGTTCGACACTGGGTGGGTGGGAGGGAAGACATTACTGGCTGGGATCTAGAAGACTAACATTTCAACTGTTTTCTCCTCAACACTAAACCCCCAGTTCAGCATGAGCCAGCGTCCAGGAGTACCTTGGCCTTGAATTCACTATTTAAACAAGAAGACTCTTTGGCACAGTTAAATGTCTCAGAAAGCAGTACACCACACACACACACACACACACACACACACACACACACACGAAGCATATATATGAGAGGGTGGGCACCCAGGCGAGAGTGCTTTATTAAAGTAAGAAAGCATAATATGTACTTGACTAGGTGATATTTTAAAATACAGTACACAACTTACAATACAATGCAAAGAAATTCAAAATTCCAGGAAGAGATATTCATTTTATGAGATATAGCCAAAGAGATAACCTTTGGCTATACTTTACCATTGTGTAATCTACAAGTAGTTGTCTCCCTAGAGGAAAAAAGTATCTCACTTGCTCATTTAAGAGATACGTACTGAGCACATGTGCTATTTGTCCCCGGCTATTCCGGGCTCTTCGGCTGCTCTCAACAGGCCCTGCAAGCTCTCGGGCCCAATGCAGCCTTTTTGTGCTGTGGATTTCTGTTTACATCTGCTCTCGTTGCTGGATGATTATTTCAAGGTGAACATGTATTAAGAAAATGGATGAGCTTTCTCCCAAGTGAGAAACTGTTATTTTAAGAAATTATCCCTATTAACTTAGAAGTTGATGTCTTAAAATACCTGTAAACAGAACAGGGGTCTAAAACAAACACAGCTCGTGATTGCTCGGCAGCACCCAGTAACACCCCCACTGGATGGCGTGTTGCCTGAGGCGGACAGACCCACCCACGGCGTATGTCCGTTCCTCGGTGCACGCACCCTTGACCCCCGTGCCTTCCACACCAATGTGCAGGGGCACACTCAGCTGTGAAGTGGATAAGCTAAAGCACCAAGGCCCGGTGATTCATCACAAGCAGATGATGGAATCACTGCCAGGGTAAGAATGAAGAAGTCGTCACATTGTGAGCGTCCTAACAGAAAGCTAGTGCAAAACCCAAGCTGTGGCTTCCCCCCTCTCAGTGGGCTGCGGGATGGAGGGCGGCCCAATCAGCTTTGAGCAGAATGGCCACAGGCCTCTCGAGATGCACGACGCTGCCACAGGTCAGCCTCGTGGGTGATTTATTGGAAAGTGCAAAGCAAAACATGTTTCTGGATTTATATTGCTTCCTTGGCCCCATTTGCATACTATGAAGGAAGTTTTAGAACAGGAGGCGATCAGCTTATAAAAATAGAAACCTTAGTAATTACAACAACAGAGAGGTGATACATTTAGCAGCAGCTATAATTATAAAGGCACTGGAGTCGGTTTTAGTCACAGCCCCTCCTGATTCTAACCCGCTGAAATTTCATTGATAGGTACAGAAATGAAAACAGAAAATGGGGCAAGGAGGGAAACTCGGGAAATGACACAAAACTCGGTTCTGGTAAATGCACGGCTTCAGCCCAGCAAGGCGAGCTGGTTATATGGTCTCTCCAGACTTGCTCTGTTCTGCGTTTGCTCCCACAGTCTCTTCCCTGGAAAGCGCTTCCTTCCGCTGCACACGTCTGAGCCCTTCCCGTCTTCCAACATGCAACTCGGATGCCACCTCCCGCCATCCCGCCTTCCTCTCAGGCTTCTCCAGAAGCCCCTTCTGCTTCTGCTTCTGCTTCTGCTTCTGCTTCTGCTCACCCCACCCAAGCACCATCTAGACCTTCCTTGGAGCCCTGTCATTTTCTTCACTGCATTGTATGTACGTACTGGCTGACCGATTTTTCCTATTGGAATATACTCTCCCTGAGGGCAGGATCTCCATCTGACTCACCTTTTGGGCTTCCAAAGCAAATAACTCAGGGCCTGGATACATGGCATCACGCACTGGCCAAATGAGTGAACGAAGAAATGGCCAGGGTGGAACACTGCTAATAACAGCAAGCGGTTCTCTCAGGCCAACTACGGGCCAGGCGCTGCTCCGAGTGCTTGCTGGAAACATATTATTAACACGTCGTATTCTTATCTGGATCGCTCTAGGATAAGCAGTGTTCTAGGCAAAGGAGGAAAGGCTCCAAAGGGTCCTCGAATCTGAGTCATGTTTCTTTGCGAAGAGGCTGCCATTGTCGGCAGACACCACAATGGGTAGGAGGCAGTTGGAAAACAAAGAGGTGGTGGAGACCTAGACTGATTCACGCTGTAGGGAGCAGGGAACCCTGGTGAGTCAGTATTATCTGCATTCATCCGTTGTATTCCCAGCAGTCTGTAGGCCGAATAAGGACTTTCCACCTTTCTCCTCTTCTCTACCCTCCAGCACCCCTCACAAGGTTTCCCCTGCCCCCCCCACGCACATGCACATGTGCACCACCCCGACCCCCAAATGGACACACAGGGCCATGGCTTCATGTCGGCAGAAGGATCAGAAATACACAGCGTGTCTACGCAGGGTGGGCTCCACAGAGCGGCCCCAGCCTGTGTCTAGTCTGACACGCATGCCAGGCTGGGTGTTGCTGAAGATCAGGGAGACGGAGGAGGTGGGCAGCTCTGGTACCACGTGACACACGCTACGGAAGAAGCACCATGACGTGAGGTGAAAGGTGATGCTTCAGCTTTGCCTAGAGATTCCTGTTGGGTCCTCTACCCTAGAGCCACACGCAGGTCACGTGGTCCTATGAAGCTGAAGGCTGAGCCCCTATCTGGTCGCGGGGATGCTCCGCCCACACACGGGACACTGGGCTGGTCTCCTGCTCCCCCACCGTCCCAGAGCTCACACGCTGCCTCTTTCCCGCAGAGTACAAGTCTCCTCTCACACCCCTGTTCCGCCACTGCCAGGCGCACACGCGCCCGCACACTCCTGTCTGATGGATGGCACCCATCGGCAGACGGGCCTTCGAGGCACAATGAGAAACCGCCACCCGTTCTCCTCCGGAGGGGGACTGACAACACCTGGAACAAGTCACTATCGTCTCCAGTGCCACCTCCAGGGAAGGAGTGCAAGAGCCACAGATGGCTGGGGCTCCGTTCCCTCTCAGCATAATTCTAATTAGAAAAGCGACTAAAATGCACTCGGGGATTGAAATTTTAAAAGTTTCAGAAAGTGAAGGTTTTAAAAGCCATTTCATGTTTAACAGCATTACAAGCTTTTGTGATACTCAGGAAACCAGAACCGTCTCCATAACTCTCCCACCACAATAGCTTGTCTATGACGTCACGGGCCGTGGGACGTCTGCTCGCAGGAGGAAAAATGAGCTCCAGAGCCATCAGTGACTCATTCAAGGTTACTAGTAGCACTAATAGCAAAACCAGGATGAGACTGGGAGCCACCTACCTTTGGGGCCAGAGCTTTTTTCGGAGGAAAAAAAAGCAGGAAAAATCAAAGGTGATTTCATTCCTGTCATTATTGTTAGTCTTCCGGACACCTGGTGCTCAGGAGTCTCACCGACTGAGCCAAACGCAGGACGCAGGCACGACCAGCTGCCTGGGGCCCAGCGCAAAGGGTTCATTCCATAAATATTTTTAAGGTGATTTACTGATATGATGTATTTTCTTGAACTTAAACATTTTTAGCTGTCGTGTCCTGAATAGCTGGTGTCTCTAAGTCTTATTTCTTCCTGACTCTAATCTAATCCCTCCACCAGATCAGTCTCCCTGAGTCACTCCTCATGAAGCTCTCCCGGTCAAAGCGCAGGAGTGGATGCACGATAAACGGTCCAGCACCCCGGGTCCCCCCAACCCGTGGCCTGCTGCTGTCTGCTCCACATCCGGGCTCTGAGCTGGCCTGTTCAGTTCCCCGGACACCACACCTCACCGTGTGGTGTGAAACGAACATGCCTTCTGTAAACCTGGACCTCGGCTCTGGCAACCTTTCAGCAAACCAACACCTCGACAAACTTCATGTGTTCGTCTAGTAAGAACGGACACCAGTAGTACATCCTTACCTAATTCATTCATATCTCACTAACCTACGCTGAGGGTCAGATGGGATGTTTCTTCAGCCAGCAGTAAACTGCACAGCCCCACCAGCCCCTCCCAAACTCTGACGCACTGTTTGATTCCCTAAGCGGGGGAGGGACTCGAGAGTCTGCCTTTCTATCGAGCTCTGCTGAGGTCAAGGCTGCTGGTCTGGGCCGCACCGTGTGTAGCAAGGGTGCAGGTTGTTTCCTCTTCTACGCTTTTTCTGATTTTATGTTTTTCCACTTGGAATGACCCATTTCTCCCTAAACCCACGCTTCAAAGCTCAGCTCAAGGTCAGCCCTCCTTCTAGAGTCAACGGACCACTCTAGACCTCGCTAACGTCCCCTTTCTTAAGTCACGAATGTGCCGTGCCTGCATTATTTACTGTGGGAATATTATTTCGCATCATTATTTAACAGTGTAGATATAGTTAAATTCTGATTTCCCAGTGATTTGTCCTCTCCTGAAGGAAAAAACCCCAACGGACACTTCTATATCCTTTCAAGAAACCCAAGAGCCTGTGATACATTTCAACTAATTCCTTGCAGAACAGTGTAAGGGGGTTGAAAGAGGATAACAGATTAAAAACCAGTAATTCTAGAACTTGATCTTGGCTCCAACCACTAATTAAGACTTTGGGCACACCATCTAACCTGCAGCTGTTCCTTTCTCTCTCCCAAATTAAGTGGAAATACCACCACTGGTCCACCTTCTTCCTGTTATTTCAGTTTAATTTTTTAAAAATTTTACTGAGTGCCAACACTTTGTAACACATTGTACAAT